TCAAAGAATAAGATGCTTAATGACAACATGCAAACTATACTGGCAACGGCATCGTCAATCTTTGTATCATTTGACAAGACTGTGAGTGCACCTAGGTTACCAAATACCTTGTTTAAACAGTGCAGCAAACTTGGTGTGCTGGTTCTCTCATGTTGTGCCTTCAGTTTTGTATCCCCTCCTTTCCTCCACTGCAATACATTAAGATTTCTTGGGCTGGGCAACTGCACACATCAGAATAATAATACAAGTGAACCTGAAGGACGGGATTGTATCACCAAGTGGGCATTTCTGCAAAGCCTGTGGGTGCTTGACCTGCGTTACACAGACTGGGGTGAGATCTTATCTGAGGAAAAGATAGGTCTTATGGCTAATATCACAGAACTAAATATAGAAGGAGCTAGGTGCTGGCAGTATACGGGTCAATTATTAGAGAAAATGTTACCTTACCTTCAAAGACTTCGGATAATCAAACCTACACATAAGGAAGAGACGACATCCTTGGACATCAACAACTCATTTGTGGGCAAGAAACAGCTAGAAATACTTGATTTGTCTGGTAACAGTGACATGAAAAGCCTACCGACAAGCCTATCAGAGGCGAGCAAACTTCAAGTACTTGTTCTAGATGGTTGTGATGGGCTTGAGAATGTTGTGCTGCACAACTCCTTGCTAAGGTCATTCAGTTTTGATGGCTATGGACCAGCATCCCATTGGACATCAACCGGCAAGCTACCTCCAATGAGTTCTCGTCCAAAGCGTCCATCTGCTGTAGATAATAAGAAGGATGTCAGAGCCTGCAAGATATCTCTAGAAGGTTGCACATTGTTGGAGGATCTGTTCTTGCGTGGGCTTCCCAACCTGGAGGAGCTGGACCTTTCAGGATGTGCGATCAAGGTACTTGACTTTGGAGCTATGGTGGTGGATGTTCCGAGGCTCAAGCGACTCTTCCTGCTAGGCTGCGAGAACCTTCGTGCAATCAAATGGGGCTCATATAAGAAGTTGGAGTTGATCTGCATAGACACACGGCCTAGAGTTGGATGTGCTCGGCCATTGTCCCTTTGCGCTCAACAGAAATCCTTCCAGCCGCAGGTGCACGCAATCATTGCGGATGCTAGGCTTGCTCGGTCCCTTTGGGCTCTGAAGTCTTTTCGACCTTACAATGCCCTTTATTTCAACATCAACATCACCTCTTCAGCTACATGCATGGAGACTATTCAACCTGAAGCAACAACAGACAAGGAGAAGGTGACTGGATCCATTGATGACCAACGACACTATGACATAGCTGCTAGAGACATGTATTGTGACATCTTTACCAAGGTTGGTAATAGCCCAACCCCGATGCAGGCCTTCCCGCAAGGCCCAGCGGGACAATTGGATCGCCATATCGAGATTGGTGACGGAAGTCGTAGCGTGCAGAGTGAGGTGGAGGCAGATCCTTATGGTTCTAATTTGGCTTCATTGATGACAGACTATACCGAATCCCTGCATGTGCATGATGTCTCGACCTGCAGCAATACTATGCCTAGAGGTGATTGGTATTCCCTCAGGTGGTGCCGTGTCGAGAGGTGCCCCAGCTTGCACGCCGTCTTTCCTCCGGACGCAGAGGATTGGGATGGTACGCTGGAGACCATCTGGGTATCGGATCTCCTGATGGCTCGTTGTGTATGGAGCAAAGGTGTCATCTACAATTCTGATGATCGCTTCAGAAGCCTGCGGCACTTGCACCTGCGCTGCTGTCCAAGCCTCCGGTTCGGGCTTGCGATGGGCAAGCGCCCCTCCTTCCGCAGCCTGGAGACCCTCCACATCGTCCACTGCGGCGAACTCAGACACGTCTTCGTACCGGGTGATGCTGACGAGGAGTACCAGCATACAAGCGTCGAGTTCCCGAAGCTGACCACCATCCACCTGCACGACCTACCAGCGCTGCAGCAGATATGCGAGGCCGCCGAGATGCTGGCACCCGCGCTGGAGACCATCAGGATCAGGGGATGCTGGAGCCTGCGCCGGCTGCCGGCCTTGAAGGGCCGCAACGAGCCAGGAAAGAGGAGGCCAACCGTGGAGATCGAGAAGGACGTGTGGGACGCGCTGGAGTGGGACGCTGGCCACCACCCTTCCCTGTATGAGGCGCCGGTGCACTCGCGCTACTACAAGAGGCGCGTGCTCAGAACCACCGTTCTCAGGTAATAATCAGTACATACATCCATACGAGCTACATCTGTTGTTGTAGCTTATACATACATCCATACGAGCCCAATTAATAATCAGGCGCAACTTATATATACTTGCTCTTAATTGATTTGATTTGATTTGATTTGCTTCTCGATCACTCACTCTGCTACCGACAGGTGATGGAAGCTAGCTGATTCTCAAGAAAGCATGCATCTGCTGCTGCTACTGCTGCTACCGTCGGTCGTCTCTGTGGATTACTGTTCGTGTGATGGATGATCCTGCCTGCCTGTTGATCGATCAGTTTGTTTGTTGTGTGAAAGGCCAGGGAGGTATGGGGCTTCAGGTTTGCTCCTGCCTGCCATGACGGCCGGCCAGCCGAATTGGCCTCTTCTGTGTGTTTGCATTGGTTTTGAAATAAAAAGAAAGACGGCCAGGCCCAGGCCCAGGCGCCTGCTTGTTGGTGCCTGAGCCTGATGCCTGCACGGCGGTGTCGCGTGCAGGCCTGGCCGTGTTTCATGCCTGCATGTCTGCGGGTGACAGACTGTGTTTCAGCTTGCCGAACGATCAATGAGTGTGTGTTTGTGTGTGTCAGCCCAGGCCATGAGTGTGTGTTTGTAATAAGAGGCGCGTCATCCGCACCTGTCCTGTCTTGTGCGATTTGATGGCTGCGCTCATGGGATTGCTTTGCTTGCTATATATGTATCCATCTACATATGTATTGTGTGTACATGATGAAACCAAGTGGCTGCATCTGCATGCTGGTCGTGTGCGAGCCTCGTGCTCAAGCATATGCATATGCCAGCTGTATTGTATTGTATTGGTGAACCATTAATCAAGCTACAATAATCTATGATCGAGCTTGTGGTGTGAGATTGATTTATATGCTCTCTGCTTGTGGTTCTACTCTGTTGAAGTCAAACATTGAGCATCAACACAGGTGGTGATTAAGCAGGTTGCCTCTCATTACGACTAACTTGTACTAGACTACTAGTTGTCTGTCCTCATTGCCAGCTGCCTGCAGTGGCTGCATGCTAAAAGAACAGCAACCATAGTTGCGTGGTCCACGTGATATCATTTCACCAACAAAGAGCTGTGATAGATGCCCTTTCAACTCCATAGCCGAAAATCAACAAGGGCGATAAGGCCCGACATACAGATGGTTTCCTATGTAAAAACAAAACATTGTAATTATTCCATTCACCGACAATCACTTGGAAGACAAAGACAGGAAGACAAAGACAGTGGTGAGGCTCCGCTCAACAGGATTGACATCGAGAGAGATGAGCCTGCCAGCCTCGTACGCGCATGCCCGCCTCGGTTAATCAGCGCCTATATAAGTGCAGCGCTCTCACCCCTGATTTTTCTAAGTCTCCACTCTCCTCTCTCACCCCAAAGGACTGCCAGATTTCTACGCCGCCGCCACCGTCATCCGCCGAGTGGAGATTGTGCTCGCAGACCTCCGTCGTGCGCCAAGTTCCGTGCCGAGGAGCTATCCTCTCTTCTCCGCATGGAACCCCAGCGGCTTCCGTTGCGGTGTCCAGTTCGTCGAACCCTAGCCACCGCCGCCATCACGTCAATTTTGTGCTCGCCGTCGCTGTCACCCACGCCGAGGAGATCCGGCCCGCGCCCCGTCTTCATGCCCGCGCCCCGCCTCTTCGTCCCCCACACCGAGGAGATCCTCCCCACACCCCGCGTCTTTGTCCCCCGCGCCGATCGAGGAGATCCACCACCGTGCGCTCTGTGCCGAGCATCTCACCAGGTTTCCGCGCCCCGTCTTCTTGTTCCCTGTGATGCCTGTGATGAACCACCCTAGCTGCCTGTGATGCCTGTGATGTACCCTAGCAGCATGTGCCACTGCCTATGATGCCATTTTTTAACCTGAGCACTGAGCATATGTCATTTTCTATGATTGTTACAGCCTATGATGCCTCTATTATGTTTCAACTGAGCATATATCATTTTTGCCTACTAATGGGGCTGCCTGCTGCACTAAGTTCACTGGTTCACTGGATTTTTGCCTACTGCTGCTCTATCTATTGCTGGTTGGTTTTTTGCCTGCTGCGTGCTGCTCTATTATGTTTCACTGAATTTGGCTATTCTAAACTGAATATATCTACTGCTGCTGGTTGGATATGTGCCTAAATTTACTGAATAGATGTTGGATAAAAAAACAATTACCTTCTATCTACCGCTGCTGGTCCTATAATTGGACTGTGCTACACTACACTTACTCCTACTGTTGCTCCTATTACTTGCTGGCTGCTCCTACTACTACTCCTAAGTGGCTGCTGCTCTTACTCTACTACTACTACTGTACTGCTACACTTACTCTACTCTACTACTTTCTGCTTACTACTACTACTACTTGCTACTTCTAGCTACTATCTGCTGGCTGCTGTGTTGATAAAATCTGACTTTTACTACTACTGTCTTACTACTCCTTTACTACTATTGTTTTTAAATGACCTCTACTAGTACTCCACTGCTACTCCTACTCTACACTACTCCTACTGTCTACTGTACTGCTACTCTACTTCTACTACTCCTACTGTCGCCTCCTACTACTACTACTCTACTAGTACTACTAGCTGCTGGTGCTGGTGCTGTCAATTTTTTCTTATACTGCTAGTGCTAGCTGCTGGTGCTGGCTGATGCTCTCTACTACTCTACTCTACTCTACTACTCTACCCCTACTACTACACTTACTACTACTCTACTCTAATACTCGTCGAAGAAGTACTCTGGAATAAGAGCGACATTATCTTGAACACAGTCGACCCACCAGAAGACAGAGAGACTAAGGGAAAAACAACAAATTGAATACACATTTATGGGAATTGGAAACTGTATCTGAAGTTCTGAACAAACAGCTTGAGTGATCAATAGTATTACCATAACTTCTCAAAGGATAAGACTACTATGTGTTATAGCCTATAGGTCATTTCATCTGGAAGGCATACAGTCTTTGGTGAAGCTTAAAAAACCAGGTATTGTGCACCTTATCTAGTCAATACCGTTTAATTAACCCCCTAGGGTGGTTTTGCAGGGAGATTTTCCCTTGCTGGCATGCCACACTGGCAGGCAAGCCATGCTTAACAGATGAAGAGTTGTGGTGTATTTCAAACGAAAGAAACCGCAATGTGTAGCACAAAATACTCACAGGTATTTCTAACGCAACAGGATCCACTTGAACATTGAACATATCAGCAGCGTCCATCTTCATAACTTTCTTAATAGCCTGAGAAACAAGTGCAAACAGAGTTTCAGTATAACCTTTATTATCCAGATTCAGCATATCTCTCATAGGTAAATCTCAATAGACCTCAAATAAAGGTGAGCCGAACTCTACTCACTTCAAGTGCAGCAGCCAGCTCTTTCTCGTTGCGCTGATGTTCCGGAGTAGACTGCTTTTCTTCCGACTCCTGTGAGCTCCTCAGCTCCACCACATCCTCCATTTTTTTGCTTTCCAAAAGAGCTTCCTGCTTGCTCGGAGCAGGCTCATCTGCCGAATCGGCTTTCCGATCCAGTGTGCTGTTTTCTACAGAAGGCAGCCCCGCCAACTTGATCTTAATGCCTCCTACTTTCCTTGCCACCTTCTCCTTATCCGCGTCACTCGACTCCAACCCCGGCCCGTCTGTTTGCTGCCCATCCATCACGACCGCAGCCTTCTCTGCATCAGCTCTTTTGATTACTTCAGGGACAGCAGCGCTCTCCGATTTCCCAGCATCAGCAGGCGGCACTTGAGCTTCCGAAGAATCCTGCTGCTGCTGAGGGCGCAGTGGCGAGTCCACCGTCTTGGACGACTTGAACTTGAGCTTCACACGGCCGTACACAGCTCCCACCTTGGGCCTGCTGTACGTTATGTCCGCAGGAGGATTAGCCGGCGCGGTGGCGCTGGGCTTCCGAGGTGGCTCAGAAGGTTGAGGTTGAGCAGGAGGAGGAGGAGGAGGCGGTGGTTCAGGCACTGCTACCCCCGCATCGACGACAGGCGGCGCATTATTATTATTACTAGCCATGGCTGCCCGCGCTTCGCTGCGGGTGATGTGCTTGGTATAGGTGGCTCATATGTTTAATATGTTCCTCATCGCGTTGGTACTAAAGGTTGGTCTATTTGGTACATTAAACGGGTAAATATGGGAAGGAAATATAACATGGTTTTTTTATTACAATATTGTAAACGAACATAGAGGTTGATTGTCATTACATAGTGCCTATTGTAGGCCAGCAAATCAATGACATGCTAGTGGAAAGAAGTATTTGATGGAGTTGGGCTCAAGCAACTAAGACACTTAGATTCAAAGCACAACATTTGCTAGGATTGCATTATAGGTGGAAAGAGCAAAAACTACAACACAAGGCCCCGTTCGCGTGTCCTTAAACCCAGCTTGATCCGCTTCTTTTTTCATCCAGAATAGTGTTTTTCTCTCACAAATTCCTCTAGATTTATCTAAATTCCTCCAAAATTCCTCAAAGCGAAACGTGAGGGTTTACAAAAGAGTGAATTAGGATCCACTCTTCTTAGGCGAAACTACAACACGTTTCGTAAATCTGGAATCACACGAAAGACTACACGGCGTCGAACACTAAATTACACCAGGATTTAAAGTTACATGGTTAAGAGCAACCTAGTATAACCAAGGCTTAGTCCAGAAGTCGGGATAGACGAGAGCAATGGAGAAACAACAAGATAACGATTATCCAAAACATGGCGTATGACCAACAGATCCAGAAACAGGAGACTGAGAAGTAAAACATCGTTAACCCTAAGACCAAACTAACCAATGGTAGACTTGAACTTCTTTGAAAACCAGATCCTTTCTTCTCAGATTACACCATCACCTCTGTCAGACGAACCTAGTTCCACAATGACGACTGGATCTCTTAGCTCTGCTTCGAATTCGAGAGGGATGAGGATGAAGGAGAAGAGGAAGGACCAAGGGCATCTTATAGTGGCGAACGTAGATAGGGCGCAGCGCACCGAAAGTGGAGATGGCATGGATGGGATACACTACTGGTTCACGTTGTGGGGATACAGCCGGCCATGGCGTGCTTCCTGCGCAAGCGAGCGGAGGGGGGATAAAGGAGAGGAGAGAGGGTTCGCTCGATGAGGGAGGCGTGCGGGCGGCCTTGTCCCCAAAAGAAGAAAGAAGGGAGGGGGGGGTCTGGTACGGGGACGAGGGCGAGTATCAAAAGCGGACTGGAGGACGGGAAAAGTAGAGGCGCACAGCGCACGAGGACGGCGAGTGCGGCATGATGCTGTGGCCATGCGAGGACAAGGTGCTAACGGGCCCGACACCGACGGCGTCTGGGGGGCACGCGGTGACAGTGACCCGACATGCATAGTGTGGTCGAGCTGGGCACAGTGCTTGGGACTTGACATCCACTCGGGCTTTTCTAAGCACTCCCTAATACCCAAGGCTAACTTTTCCTAGGTGTTCTTCTTTCCTTTCCTTCCTTGTCCACAATATACGCCAACCTTTGTATGAAGTGAGATCGCAACATTTTTTCAGAATTATCTGAACCATGAGGATGCCAGTGACCTCTGTTCAGGCATGGCTCCCTTTGCTTTGCTCTGTTGTCTATCTATACCACACCCTGATACCCACATCTTCTACACCGTACTCGAGTGTTTCTCGAGCGGTGAGCACTCGATTTTGTACGGGTACGATCCAGAACCGATCCAGCACGGACAGCCACCCGCGCCTGTGCACGACACGTGCTCCGGAGTCCCACGCGTGTCGCCCCGAGGTGCATGGTTTGGTCCGCCTCTGCACCGACCAGTTGCAGGTGCATGCATGGCGTGCTATGGTGTGGTAGACCAGACTAGGGTCACCCGCTGCCATCAATCACCTCGCCCACTGCATGAACCTATGCATGCATAACTATTTGTAGCGGTAGAGAAGTTTGACTTAGAAAAAAAGCAAAATAAATTTGTTCATGGTAGAGAAGTTTGACTTAGGAAAAAAGCAAAATAAACTATAATTTGGATTGGAGGGAGCAGTGGTCAACTCTTTTTGAGCAATTCTAGTAGTCATTTAACATTTGGGTTGCAGGGTTGGATGTTGTCTCTTTGTTTTCTACAGGTAAAATAATTGGATAAGAGTTTTGCAGCCCCTAAATAGACTTGTTTGGTTCATGGGCTCATGGGCAAACTCGCCAAATCATGGACACAACATTATTTTATCTAACCCTTTTTTTTGCTTTTTTTACTTTTTTGTATGTTCGAATTGGTTTCCCTTTAGAATTTTCCAATTTGGCTTCCATACAAATAATGCCCGTGCTAATGCTACGGCAACATATAATCATACAAATCAAATAACCAAAAGGCATATATGCCAAGTTGTTAAGCATCACTGAGATATATTTACGATTCACAGAAAATTAAATGAGATATGTTTATGATTCACGTAAAAAGAAAAGGTAAAAAGGAAGTCCATCTCACCTGATCAAAATATGAACAATAACATTTTCCAACATTAGTGGTCACATCTATAACAAAGCATTTTCATTTGTCAAAAATACTTCGTTATAATTCTAGGCAGATATCTGGGCACCAAGGAGATCACATGTGAAGACCAACATAGGCTTAAAGAAATATAATATCCCAAGAACTTACCTACCATCTATCTAATGAAATTATAGGAGGATTTAAGTTGATCCAAGAGAATACAACATCGAGATGCTATTTGGTTCTAGAAATCAAATGACAATTGAAGTAGCAGAGTATCATACTACCTTTTTAATGGTGGCACATATTTCTTTTTATAAAGCGGTATCACACTATTCGTAAATAGAGCCTTCATGTCGTGCATCTCGGATCTGGCGATTAAAATTAATTGTGTATCACACTATTTTAGAAACAGAGCCTTCAATGCACATGCATGCTAACTCCGGGATAAGGAGAAAAACGGGCATGCTAATGGATCGAATCGGTGGGAAAATGTACTATCGTTACATCTTGATTGCGAGTCATCATTTTCCCTTCCTCCTCACATCCTTCATCGCATTGTTGATCCTTCCTTTGCTCAATTCAAGAGCTCGTCATCGCTAGCTGACGCCCATCATTGGATCCACTCCCACCACCCCTTGTCATCAGCAGCGCTCCATTACCTCGGAGGCTTGAACTGGAGTCTAAAACTTTTTTTTCCAAAAGAAAAGATGTTGATATATAAGCAAAGCGAAGTTGTGAAAGGCAACCAAAGTAATAAATTTTCCCGAATATGCGTAAAGCTCACCAAACATTATTGACCAAGGTATCCTCGAAAATGGTTCCAATCGCAAGGAGCCAACCTGAATTAGGTACATAGTTTGGTTGAAAGAAAGGAAACAATACAGAACCGTTATTTGCTTTTTGAAATATAAAAGCAGGGGAGACCTCTTGTCTAAAAAAAGAAAGGAAACAATATAAGATGCTTCAAAATTGGAGTTGTTAAATCAACGAATAAGAAAGGCACCATCATGCCATTTCAGTTGTCTCAAAAATTTAATTTATCACCATCAAGACAAAAAAAGAGGTTTCAAGGTTCCGAAATTTCTTGTCCGGTGCATCATTATTTGTAGTTATTTTCAAGCCAAAACCATTACAAACAGTAAGGATACACTCTTGTTACCTTTAAGACACAATTTCATCCCATTTCAGCCCAAAACTGGAAAGAACGATACATGGAAAAAATTCATCCTTGCTCTTAGTGTTTGACATCTCTTAGATAAACAAAAGTTCAACCTTGCACTCGACTTCAAATGATCTGAAATTTGGCAAAGTAGATCGAGAAGATCAAAACAGAGAGACGAGTATCTGTTACCTTCATGAGGGGGCTGACCGGAAAAACTATGAAATCCAAAATGCCTTGAAAAGTTTCATTAAAAAGCCACATGAGACAAACATTATTCTCAGCCAACCCACTTCATTGATCTCAAAGGCGGATAATATGCAAGACAAGATACAAATATGATGAAATAGTCATGGTGGTGCAAGCTACTGAGACCAACTTCATTGATCTCACAGCGAGATAATATGCAAGACAAGAAAAAATATGATGACATAGTCATGGTGCTTTAAAGCTACCTGTATGCTACTTAATTGCTCCAACAATTTTACACATGAAGTACATTTGGTGATGCAATCAGTCGTCGCATCCTCCTTGGATTTCCCTGTTTAGGTGCAAAAGTTGCAACGATGTATAAGCGTCAATTCAGAGTTTGGTCAGAGGGGAAAATGGCACATCCAGAATAAATCTGAACAAACCTATAATAACCTTCCAAGCATCCCATTTGGTTGTGTCCTTCAGGTTGAAAATGCCTTCAGATTGAAGCGATGAGTCCTTTAAGATTTAGTAAGTACTCTATTAGGAAACTGGTAGTAAGCACTGTGGTTAAAAAAGATGCAAGATCCAAAAGCACAGGATAACCAAACTGTATGTGTTCATCACTGTACCTAAGCTGAAGCACACCCAAGTTCAACTATTCCATCTGTTTTTTAGGATCCCCTCTAATGAGGCAATAACGAGGCAAAAGGATGCGAGGAAAGATTGCGTACCACCAGAATCTGGGTGAATCTAATGTAAAACTGAATCCTAGTTAAAAAAAAGGTTTCACTATGTCACCAACATATTCACTATGCTTTTGAAAGGCGATTCAGTTGTGCAATTGATTGAAAGTTGAAACTGAAGATAATGTACATGTTTATTTGCAGCTACACCAGGTCACCAGCAAGTTATATCTACAGAGTATCCTTTTTTCATGGTCTGAATCACTGGTCCTAGAATCACATCAATGTCTCAAATACTTTGAGAAGAAAGGAAGCGTAATTGCCTAAATATATGAATACACTCTGCTAGGTACTTTATACCACCAGGGAAATAATTCAACTGTATTTGCACAAGATACTACTACCCAGAAATTAATTAATGTAAGCAAATGACAGAATAAAAACAATAGGAGAAAAAGAAGAGGTGCTAGCTCACTGTTGCCCGAAACCCTAACCCTAGCCGCCGCCGCCGGCGGCGGGGCTGTTGTCCTAATTATGTAATGGGATTGCAAATTAACATATTTAAACAAGTTGTATTGACAGTAAGAAAGTAGTCCAACATAAGAGTAGAGTTAAGAGCATATACCTTCTCCAGTGCGATTCTATCAACCATCCAACAAATATTGCCTGCAATGAAATAGCTCTAAATCTGTTCATCTGAAGGAAAATATTGGCACTTTTATTAAATGTGAATCCTATTAGATGTGGACATAGCTGTTACTCAACCAAATTTAAAATCACTATGTATTATAGAGGAACAAACTGAATCATCTATTACTTATGAACTGGTGGACAACAATTTCATTGTCCAAATATAAAATGGCTAAGTATTATAGAGCAACAAACCCAATCATCTATTACTTATCAGCTGGTGGACAACAATTTTCATGCATGGTTCTTTTCGGCATATGAAAACACAAGCAAGTCAATTCACATAAGCAGTTAACTATGAGAACAAGTACAGGTTCAGTTAGAGGATAGTTAATAGCAGCTAATGTACATAAGCAGGTAACTTAGATAACTTGGAGTTTAGAGAAATAAGCAAGTCCAGGTTCAATGCAGTAAGTAAGGACATGTTTCATAAAAAAGCTTGTACTGTAACCATAAAGCTGCAACAGGAAGGAGATATGATTCATAGTCTACCTTCTTTTCTTCATAGGCTTGATTTTAATGCTGCCCGCGCTTCGCTGCGGTTGATGTGCTTGGTATAGGAAAAATTTTGAGAAATATGGCTCGTATGTCTAATATGTTTTCTCATCGTGTTGGTACGGAAGGTTGGTCTCAATATTGTAAACGAACATAGAGGTTGGTTGTCGTTACATGGTGCTTATTCTAGGCCAGCAAATCAATGACATGTTAGTGGAAAGAAGTATTTGATGGAGTTGGGCTCAAGCAACTAACACACTTAGATTTAAAGCACAATATTGGGTAGAATTACATTATAGGTGGAAATAGCAAAAACTACAACACAAGTAGGGTTTACCAAAAAGTGAATTAGGATCCACTCCCCTTAGGCGAAACTACAACACGCATCCAACAACTACGAACGACAACAACGGCAAGAGTACAATATAGGAGGACAGCGACGAAAAGCACTACTACTACGAGTACAGCATCCCAAAGCAACTAATCTACCTTGGAACAACGCATCTTTATTCCTGTGCTCGGCGGATTCTTCTACCGCCCTGTCTATGGATCTGCATCTTCTCGTGGCAATGGCTGAGTGAGAGAAACCAAGGGTTCTACTTCTAACACTTCCGAAGGTGGAGGTGCTGGCGGTTCTGCATCACCGGTTCTCCTTCTTTTAGGAGGGTGGATAGGGATCCCCTCCAAGATCGGGGCATCCTGCCTTTCATCAACCAGCGTCCTCCGCTTGGCCCTAGTGAACAGATAGGCCTCACCCAGCTGATGAACATGCCGATCTTCGGCCTCCTTCAGAGCTTCTGACATGGCAGTCTCCTGGCTCTCAGCAGCTGCAGCACTGGCATGCGCTTCAGTGAGCTGCACCTGGAGCATCCGAGTGAAGATCTCGGCTTCTTCGGCGCGCCGGAGGCACGCCCTTAGCTCCAAGGCTTGCCGGTCATACTGCTCATCCAGAGCAAGCAGGTACGTGGTCAAGTGCACCATGGTAGGACTATCTTCTTGCGCATCCCGCCCTTGCAAAGCCTCCATGCGAGCCGTCCATGCTTGCCGATTCCTATTCAAGGGTGGAAAGAACCTCATGGGGGTACGAGCAATGGGCTCTTCATAGAGCTGGCAAAGGTACCGCAAGGCTTTGCAGGCCACAACCTGGTAGTTGTCGGTGAAGCTAAACCCGGTTGCGGTCACACTCCAGGCTTCGGTGATGTCGAAGAACTCTTCACTCTTCCCAATGTAGACGGTAACCTCACACCGATCGGTGCCATGCTTCTCATACTCACGGCCTTCATACTCGGGACGATCTTTGACTCCGAGCTTTTGTAGGGTGGCATGCAGGATTCTAGGAAAACCCTCAACGTTCAGGCAGTAACTACTAACCCAGGCTCTTGCCATTTCTGGCAGTGGCTACAAAGAAGGGCTGAGCAAAAAGCTTGCTCAAAGGGAAAACCTAAGCGAGCTAAAGTGCGCCGAGCGGTGATACCAATGGCTAAGCCAGGCTCTGCTTATAAAGGCAGAGCGGTCTGTGGTCCTAGCGCGGTTCACTAGGGTTTCTACGCGGGATCACTACGAACGAATCGACCAAATCCGGCGCGTTTGAGGCGAGTGGCGTGCGGTACCATTACTGAGTAGTACGACTGTAGGGCAAGGGTCCGACAAGAGCGCAGAAAAGGGGTATGAGGAGACATGAGTCACTGCTGACGTGACTCACGGGCGAACGCGAAGCACAAAGCCACAGTGCAGACCTAACTCTGTAACAAGAATGAGTAGCCCATGCACACTACGACACGCGTGACACCTATGGATGGCGTATCTGCCAGCAATACGGCACAATAATGCACAAACAGGATATGCATGAATGCACGTCCTATGCGTTCGAGGTGAGCGATGTCCAAGGCCATTAATGACTAATACGGTTGCAAGCCAAGGTTCCGACAATAGCCCAAAAAAGAGTGCGGGCAAGCATGCATGCTGATGCAATTATGGTAGCTATAGTTATGGCGACCAACCCCAACTACCGACCATCTCAGGAGCAACGTGCACACAATCCAAGCCGTGTCTTAGATGCATGGATGCATGGATGCATGTGTAAGTACAAATGGTCCTGCATGGTCGGTGAATTATTTCTATTTGATGGTAAGGAGGAGAGGCATTAAATGTGTCCACCTGTCCGACTTGTTTTTATCTGATGGTAACATGAAGAGGAGGCATCAAATGTGTCCACCTATCCGACTTGTTTTTATCTGATGGTAACATGAAGAGGAGGCATCAAATGTGTCCACCTGCTGTCGACCCACCCTGCGTAGGTGAAGATGTCCAGTGCTTTCAAACTCACTTAGTAAATTTCTGGATACCTTAGGGAATGGCTTCGGACACTGCTCGTTTTGTGCGTGTAAAAATCCTGCCGATCTCCTTTTATTGGTCTCCGCGCCAGACTAAATAGTGGACTGCGCTAGGACCAATGACCGCTCCACCATTACAAAAGGCTAGTGTCAATGTCTCTTTTCCGACCAACCAGTGTTTTTTTTCTTTTTTTCTTTTCCTTGAGCTAGGGTTTCAAAAGCAAGTATTGTGTCTCAATCCAACTGTCCGAGTTGTATATGTTTATTTTGAGTCTGGGCTTCATCTACTTTTTTAATATAATCGCAACTCTCTCCTGCCTGACTTGTTTTTTTTAAAAGAGAGATTTGGAAAAAGATGGAATAGGAAGACAAGATACAGGTAGAGAAGGGGAAGTTTGCAAAGTTAGATAAGCTTGGAATGAGCATAGGAACATGTATTGAGATGATTCCCATGGTTTAAGCATTGCCACACTTGTGTAAAACATTTTTCACTTGTGTACTTGTCGTAACCTGTAAACGATATCACTTGTGTAAAACATTTTTCAGAAATGAGATTTTTCATTTCTGTTTTCTTCCAGGCATCTCGTGTACCATGGTTTAAGCATTGCCACACTTTGTTCATACAGCATTTGCACGCACATAAGTCAAGCACCAACAACAATTAAATCCACATAGATACTAAGTTGTACGATAAAAAAACAATAGTTTAATCATCAATCTGTCGTCCATGCAATATAGCAAAAGATTTTTTGCTCAAGGTTATTCTCAAACTGCACTACAGATCCATCAATGAAGTATCCCACATCACTAAACGCTTAGCTCAAAACGGAGCAACCACACACAAATGCTACCGGTAAACGGCCAATGTCCTGATGCCCTCACTGGCCCCTGCATAGAGCAAATCATTTCCCAATGAATAGAGAGAACGGTTCATGCAAACAATGAAGGTACACACCAACCGCCTATACCGTATTAGTTTGCTGATGAAGCAAAAATAGTAAATAAAAGGTAGACAGCAACATAGTTCCAAAAGATTAGTGTTGTATTGACATATCACCAACAGTGACTATTTGCACCACATTCTCAGACACCTAAATGATGGATCAGAATGTGACAACGTGGTCATAACCAATAATAACCATGATAACTAATCAAATATGAGACCACAGCTATGATCACAACCCACACAGGTCAGACCTAAGATAAAATGCTATTGTATCACACTATATATGAATGATACTGTATAATGCGACAATTTTTCTGTGCAATGAATGTTCACTTGTAAATTAGTAACATATTTTCATGATTATAAAATAAACAAAAGGGTAAACTCTGGGATGCTATTCTACATTTCAGTGTGCGCCTTTTTATTAGTTCTTGGATTTGTAAGCTACTTGCAACTGGTCAATTCAACAAGAACATTCTAGCAGGTTAGACTAAAAAATAGTGGGCTACTGGCTGCCTATCAGAACTCAGATAGTATATGGGCAATGCAACTTGCAAGGTAGTATGAACTGTGTACAGGAATATATGCTGAAAATACATGACATCAGGAAATGCAATATTTTACATAAATGTATTGAGGCACCAAGAAAGTTCATTGGCATATGCATCTACATTCATTACTCACTAGACAAATTCAGCGAGAAAAAGGTACAGAAGTCTTTAGAATTAACATAACACCTAAGATGAAATATAACACTTCTCACGGGATAACTCTATTACTATCTGAAAAGGGGACAACTCTCTTAATCAATGTGACATGTATGGAGCTAATTTCAGATCAAGTAATTTGTAACTTATGAATTACTTTGATATTCATAAGGAGCAAAACCAACCAGTTAGACTCTTATGTTCAGTAGGGTCACAAAAAATGTTGAATTCATTATTGGATCATACACTCGGGTCATAGGTTAGCTATTTTCTCCACTTCTGATTGTGAACACATGGAATTTATAAATCTCTGATTTGAGGGCAGTGTGTGCAGGCACTCTACTATTTATAAAAATTTCACCTTATTAGGCATTTTTTAACAGACAAGAAAAGAGATTACCCAGAACTTTGCTAATAGAGCTCAAATTCTAGCGATTATATAACATAATAAAAAGGGATTAAAAGAATCAAGCCTAAATCAGCTAGATATAATACCAAAGGTATATAAAAAGGATGGAGTGCCAAATTTGCAACAAATATGATAAAGATGCAATATCAAATTAGTGACACAAACCTGTGCAACCTAATAAGTTGGATCACCACATGCCATGAAAATATCTACCAAAAGGCTCCTAAATTTGTAGCATGTTCAACATCCTGGTACTACCATACAGCGCACCTGTTTAGTGGATGTCTAAGTGAGCTAAGGATGAGTTGGGTGCAAATGAAAGTATTCCATCTGAACTATGGATTCTCAGCTCACACAAGCCTTCCAATCCAGCCCCCTGGACCAGCGTGAAACTGCGCTCAGAAGTCAAAATTCTCCTCAGCGCAACTCAATCCGCAAACCCACTCAATTCCACTAAGCGTGGTAAATAGAACTTCACCAAGCATTTCGTCGAGCACTTGCCGATCACAATAGGACATATTCCAATTCGTCACCGCAACCCACTAACGTCTGATCAACAAATCAACCGGCAAGAGATGGCAAGCACAAGCACACAGAACTACAGAAGCGTTGCGCTAACAGGTACAGGTATTGGTGGAGATGGGAGGGGAGTCTCGATGGGAGGGTGGCCCTAACCTGATCTTCTTGATGAGGATCTCGCGGAGCTTCTTGCCGAGATCCTAGGACCGGACGCGCTGCATAAGCGCCTTACGCGCGAGCACGTGCTTCTCCGAGTCCTTGTCGTGGTGGTGGGTGCGCGCCCAGATGAGGCGCTCCATGCCGCTAGACCGCATCTTGCGCTCCATGACTGACAGCAACATAAGCTTTACAATTTCACCATTATGCTGATAGTACAAAAAGAAGGAACGAAACATAAGCTTTACAATTTCTACATTTGTACAGCAACAACTCAATCCATCTGGTTGGCTACTACAGCTTTTTAACTTCAAGCAGAGTTTGCTCTTCGCTATATTATATTTTACTGAGAAATGTCTGCAGAGACTGAGAGGGAGAGGAAATGAGGAAAATTGGTGATAGCCTGATAGGAGAAACCTCTTTTCACTATGCTTTACTGTGTTGTATTTCATTTATAAGGCCGGTGTGTTTCAGTGCACATCACTATGCAACTATTTATCCTACCAGGGGTATGTGGGCCTTATCAATTGAAATCTTAATGTATCATTTCTTCGTTTGGAACTCAGATTCAAATTCCTTTTGTAGCCGATCATGTGACTCCATTCTAGCTGCTAGTATAACATCACTGATAAAACTCTTATATGGGAATTTATCCGGCACAAGGCTTCTGTAAATATCAAACTGCTTATCTGTGTCTTCTTTTCTGTCTAAAAGTGCATACACAATGCCCTGCAGAACCAACACCATAGACAGACAAGATGCACATTCAAAGTCAAAACGAAGGTACTTCAGAACAAATCAAACTCAGCAAAATAACAAAGAGTACCTGGCAAAGGTGAGACCGAAAATCTCGAGGATCCTCATTTATAAGATTTTGTAGTTTCTCAGATGCAACATCCAACTGACCCTGTGCCATCAAAACTTGCATTTAGACACCAAAAACTGTCATGGTCTCAGATTTCCAACCTATTTGAATAAATGTTACCATGACAACATGCATTTGTGCGATCAAAAGCTTTATGTTGCGCTCTTCCAGGACCCTTTTCTCTGAAGTTGCAAGCTGCAAAGCATTCTCAAGCATTTCAAAAACAGTAGGGCCTTCAAGTTTCTTCTGCATACATAGTGCAAGTCCCTGCAAGACAGGAAGAGCGCGAGTTGTTACCAGACATGAGGAACTACTAATCACTTAGAGAATGTCACAAGGATGGGATTCTAATAAAGAGCAAGTTTTAAAAGTCTAAGACAACATTGGTGTTGAGAATTTGCTGCTCATGGCTGAACACAAAATGTCAAGCAGACACGTCAAGTAGTAAAGAACTGGCTCTGCTTCATTCCTCATGAAATCAAGAAGTATATTATGGTTGCAATCAATCAAGTAAAAATTGCAACACTTAGCACAGTCAGTTTTTGTAAAACCTAGTCTGTTAAATTTACGAAGCCTAACCTAATCAGTATACAACACTCTATATCTACAATATAATGCTGACAACAGCCCCCTTGCATAGTTAGTACTTCCTACCATCTTAATGAATATTCCATTATGCGACTATTAAGAGTTAGGCTGTGGCATGAACCTCCCCCTGGATTCTTTTATATTAGAAATTGCTAGCAAGTGGAGCCAGCTGCCTAAGGTATGGAAAAAAGCATATTCTTTTCCTTTTGGAGAACGTCAAGCATCAAGCCATCAAGACAACTTTCTGTGAACTTTTAGGGACAACTCTAGCATAGCTTAGAAACAACTTGCAGCAAATTGCAGAATTTTATATGCATTGCTTCTCGTCCCCTCACCAGTAATGCCGTATTTCAATTGCTACTGGTACCATCTTTAATTCCCAGTGTCTGAAAGACTGAAACATATATGATCCAATAACTGACCATTGATCACCACATCAACTGCGACGCCAGCAGTAACCACACCAACACGAAGAATTGCAGGCAAATTGCAGCTACTGAATAGATTAGAAAGAGGATGTATGCTATACCCACATGGAGAGCCCAGACGAGGAGGGGCTCCTCTGCCAGGGGCTCCCTGAACTGACGCTCTGCCTTGGCGAGGTCCCCCTTGAGCTCGTGCAGCTGCGCCACCATCAGCCGCCACTCCACCTCGCTGGGCTCGGCGTCACGCAGCCGTCGTCGCCGTGTCACCGCAGCGCCCGCCCCAATCCGCGCGCTCATCTTAGCGTACAGAGCGCACTTGAGCGCGTCCACGCCGCCAGATTGCGGCTCAGAATTGCCGAATACATTCGCACCTCCTCATCTTGCTCTTCGATTTCTTGGAGTTGCTGGGTCGGCGCGGAGCGCAGGGCGAAAGCGGGAGTGAGCGGACGCGCGAGGGGGGGAGGAGGCCTGCGCGACGCAGAGCACGAAAAGGAGGGTCCTCGAGGTGGAGACGACGGAAGAGAGAACGCTCTCGGTCGGGGTCTTCAAGGAGGAGGTGCCGGGGAGCCATGCCGTCCTGGTTGAGAACGTGATTCGATGACACCGCCGCCGGAGGAGACCACGCCACCGAGGAACGCCGAAGCCTTGCCTGGGCTCGAACACGCCATCGCAGAAGAGGAGGAGCAGCTTGAAGCGCCGGCCACCCGCGTCGATGCATCCGGCCTCCTGCGGGAAGCCGGGATCCGCCCGTCGCTGCCGCCACCAACCACGGCACACACAGACGCAGAGACGCCACCGGCAGCGTGAGGGCCACTGACGCCATCGATGGGGTGGAGGATGAAGGCCGGAGCTCAAAGAGGATCAATCCATCCAGGCGCCCTGCACGGGTCCCCTCATCACCGGAGGGAGGGGCGGGAGGTGGCCACCGCCGGATGCGGGGGCCCTCGTCGGCGCCAAGATACGGAAGGAGGGGAGGGAGCAATGCCGCCGGTGGGGTGGGGGCAGAGCGGCGTTGCAGCCGGGGAAGTCCGTAGCGTGAAGAATACAAAAGGCACCGGCGATTGAATGATGGCGAGGTTTGGGGACGGGATTTCCGGCGCTGGAACGTGGAAAGGACGAAACAAAAACTACGGATGCATTAAGTGCATGGTCGGTGAATCGTACTGACGTGCGTGCCGATCACCGTACTTAATTAGGCACCGGCCGCATGTCGAGAATCTATCTCCTCTGCTACATTCAATGCGTCCACACAGGAGAAAGGTCAGTTCTGACGCGTCTCATCTGTGCCGTAGAATTTCTATCTAATGTATTAAATAAAAAGAATGTACGTGAACACTCTAACAGGCCGCCGATTCGACGTGCCTTCATATTTGTAATGATTTGCTTTACTCACAGACTTCCTCAAGAAATTTGAGATGAATCATAAGGCGCCAGTCTCAAATAGAGAAGGCAAAACTCAGGTACTCATAAAAAATGCTATACATTTTATTATATTGGAAATGAAATTTACCAGCATTGTGGTATCGACTCAGTAATACTTTATCCAACATATATGTAGTAAAGAACCATATAACACCTCACTGTAAATGGTTATTTTCACTCAGCAGGAATTTCAATCTCCCCTTTGGCTGAGCCTGCCTGTGATACTGCCACGTTTTATATAACTTTCTAACCGGAATGTTCATGTTCACATTATTATGCCAAAACATGCACAAGCAGAGCAGATCTATACCTTGGCCTCCATGCCACGCGGAAGTTCTCCTGCATGTAGCCGTCCAATTGATATTCTTCCTTTGCGCTCATCATATTCAGTATTAGGTACCTTCATAGAAGCCAACAATTAAGCATTGATACGGAGGCAACGAAAGATAAGTGCAGATATAGGCTGTAAACACCAAAACATGTTGAGAAGCCAGAAAGCCGTCTCAACAGAAAAATTTTCAGGATGAAACAATTGGAGCTTTATAAGCATGAAGCCTGGAAGAAGAACAAAATAGATACGACATTCATATTATGTGGTCGGTGAGGTTCGTGCTCAAATTAGCAATGGCACCCTTTTAGTAGAAATGAGTGAGTGTCCATGTGACACTAGTTTGGGAGAGACCAGCTGTGAGCATGAATCGAGATTGGAGACTTAGAAATCCAAGAGTAATAAAAAAAATAGTAATACAACTATTTGTTGATTATGAATGTCGGAAGTAACTAATTTTCAATAAAGTTTTCCCTTTTAGTGGATGCCAGATATCAGTCATCAATAAGAAACACCTATAAATTAATTTTTCAAGACATGTCTTTCAGCATTTTAGGATAACGCTGTTGCTCATATTTGATCCGTATGAAGTAGGGCTGTGGAGGCTGTCGGGATCACAACTTAAATAGGCATTTAATCGAGCACTTAAACTACAGGCAGCAAAAATCTAGCATACAGAGCAACAAACCATAGCACAGATTTCGTACCCAAAGGTGAGGAAGGCAGATGGAATTGTCCCCCAAGATCAACAAGAATCCCCAGCAAAGCAATCTTGCTTATCCTCTGTGTCCCCTTTCTGAAACCAACACAATTTGACATTACAATTCCGGTCGTCTGCTGGAGAGGGGATGGGTTGCAACGCCTAATGAGGAGCAAGAGAAGAGGAGGATGTGGGAACTCACCTGGGCTTCAGAGCCAAGGAGCATCAGCACCGGCGCAGCTGCCGTCGCGAGTATAGCATGGAGGAGAGACGAAACGAAACCATAAGCTGAGGAAGCCCAAGTGGTGTGCAAATCCTAGGCATGTCCACCGGATGTCCTCATAGCAGGCTCCTGGACCGGAACCAAAGCCAAATCACGAATAAAAATTGCGCGGATGCAATAAAAGCTTTTCCCAATTTCAGATGACACCTGACAATCAAATAGCACGCCAGTAGTGCATTAAAGATTGAGAAGCATCACATACCGAATCATCAGTTCATAGTAGATGCGCTTCAATTCTAGTAGGGATGGAATGTTTGCAGGAGCATCCTGAACAATATTGTCCCCTTCCTTTGGTTTTTTTCCCTTCAATGGGTCTGCTTCAAATACTCTAGCACTAATTTTCCTTGATAAAATTTGTGCTCTGACATAATCTTGCCGATCTAGGCATAGCCGGACCTGTGACAACAATAATAGAAAGTTTTGCATGAATCAGCATTTTAGTAAGAATACAAAGTGCTTAACATAATAGATTGCCATAATACCTGGTCAAGAATAAAAGCAATTTTTCCTGTCTTGGCCATGGAACCAAATGTTTCGACCTGATAAACAACTTGGTAGTAACAGTCATGGATGGCCAGAACCGACAAACAATACTAAAGAATGACAGAAACATTGTCACATAATATGGAAGTACATGTCCTCAATTCTAGTGCAGTGCAAACTTACAGCAACTTCTTGCATCAAATCAGCAGCCTCGTCAATCTGTCCCTGCTCCTCTTTGATTTTAGTAAGTCTTTTGATCAATCTTGCTCTCTCTATCTCAACATAAATCTGCAGATGAACAACGGTCAGATTACACACATAAAAACAAGGAATCTTAAAAGGAATAAAAAATCATCAAGATGGAAAATTCTCACTTTGCCAGCAGAGACGCTGCTCAGTGTTTTGATTAGCTCGATGCGTGGGTCAATGTCTAGTGTCAAATCAATGTAGTCCATTGCTTTCTGAACCATAGCAGTTATGGCCTGCGATAAACAGAAGTGACAGCAATATAAGTGGATAGTAAACAAAACAGTAGCAAGTGGCATACATGGTTAGCGTTCCTTTCTATATGCTTATCAATTTATAGGTAAACAAATAGACAAAGATGACTTATGAATCTGCAAAAACAAGATAAATAGTTAGAGTAATGCTTTGGTACAGCATAGGCTCCCATTTGAAAGCAAGTAATAAAGAACTACTTATATTATACTTAATAGATTGATCTAAAGTGTTCTGGTCATGGGCAAAACATTGCTCAAGATGATTGTGAATAAGACTCAAGAACTGGCAACTGTATGTCCAAGCAACTAAAGGTCAAAGCAAAATGTTGCAGATAAAGATTTCACATTGTGGTTGTTCAACAATGGATAGGAACAATGCAAACTCCAGAAGTGCAATTATTCGCTGATGCTAAGAAAATAAGTACCCTAACGAACAACCAAATGGATAACAGTTCAAGCGAATTGCATCAGCATACATCTAGACATCACTATGGCCATGGATGAGAGCATTCAGATTGCACACATAGTGCAATCTAAGGAATGTAAAGCAAAAAATAGTAAGCACATCATGCGCATGCTTCATAGTCAACGCGGAAGAATGGTGAGTGGCGTTGCATTTAAAGGAAAACCAGTCAGCATTGTTAAGTAGAACTAAATCATCAAAAAACAAAAACACAAAATGTTCTGAAAATCAATGGCCGCTGTAAGCAGAAAGAATGTATAAATATAAGAAATCATGTATTTCTAGCTTTCTTAATAATTACAACCGCATGAAATATTTATTGGATGGATAAACCATACTCCCACCAACCACTATATTAGTTTAAACAGGCAACTTCGATTCAGAAAGCTTTCTCAAGTACAGTTTCTTTTAACAGACAAGAGTTCAACAGATGTTTTAGGGTCAATACCTCGAACCAACACCAAAAGTACAACAAAGTTACAATAGTAAAATACTTCAGTACCGCGTTATGCGGAGGCCGCTCTGCCTTCGTACAAGCAAACTAATTACTAAAGCACCTCCAAAGGGTCTCATACACATATACTAATTACAGAAACCAATCGAAGATGTAAGAGCAAGGCGGTGAATACTCGAGACCCGAACCTGCTTAAGCTGGCCTCTCCTCTTGGAGAGGAGAACGATCTGGTCGTTGAGCGTCTTCCACGCGCCGGCCTTGTAGCAGAGCTCAACGATGTCGATGACGGCCTTCCGCGTGCCGGCGACATCACCGGCCAGCCTCATCTGCTTCTCGACGTTCAGGAGCGACTCTATCGCCACATCGAGGTTGGTGTTCCGTACCTTCGTTGCCACAGCGTCGGTGGCCGCCGCCTCCTGCGCGCAGGCCTTCATCAGCGGCGGCCCGCGTCGGGGTAGGAGAGGAAGAGGGTGAGGTACCGCCAGATCCAGGCGCCGAGTTTCGTCGCCGCCGCCGCCGACGGAGAGGAAGAGGCAGGTAGGGTTTCGTCGACCACACGCGGACCGGCGGGACGAGGCAGCGCCGGGGGAGAGCAGGGGCTCGGACGCGGCCGCGGACACTGGCGTTGGACGGCGCACCATGGCGCCGTGCCAGGGAACGCCGCTGCGCCGCGCACAGGGTGCGGAGAGCCTCGGCGGTGGCGACGAGGAACGAGGGAGAGAGCGAGAGCGAGAGCGCGGAGAGGAGAGAGAGCGCACGGAGAGGAGAGAGAGGAGGGGAGGAATGGAGATGGGGATGGGGATGGGATGAGAACCGGAAATGAGGACTGGATGGGGCCATGGTGCACACAAATCAACGATGCATGCATGCAAAGCGAGGACGGCCCCAGCAGTATGCATGTACGCGTTAGGCACCGGCCATGCATGTCACCTGGTACTACCTCACCTGGCCGGTCGAGACGCGTTTCATGTGAGCCGTGGAATCTCGATCCAACACACTAAATTAAAAGAACTGACGTGGACTGCCTAGAAGGCCGCCGATTCGGCGTGCCTTCGTATCTTTAATTATCCTCCTCCGCCTGGTCTCGCGGGCTGTCCGACGCCTCCGTGCTGGGACTGGACGCGGAATCCGGTGAGGTGGACTCCGCCGGACCAGCCTTCTTGCGCGCCAGCTTGCGGCCACGCTTGCGCTTCATCGTGGTGCTGCGTTGCTTTTTGGTGGCGGCCAAACAGCAGCCGAGGCGGCTGGGATCGACCGACGCGGCAAAGGAACGCGCTGCAAATAAACGAGGGGGAGAAGCAAGTGTTCGGGCTCAGATTGCGCCGCGCAGGAGGCTCGGAATTCCACGGAACGGGACGATAATGGATCGCCTGGCGGACAAACCCACCGAGGCGAAGCGAAGCGAAGAGCTAGGGTTCCTTACCGGAGGAGAGGAGAGGAGGAATTCGGTCCCGGGGCCGCGACGATCTCGGACCGGCGCGCGTCCAGCAGCAGCAGGAGGAGGGAGAGCTCGGGGGACGCGCGGTGCGCGGGAAGGGAACGGGTGCGGCGGGCGGACGGGCAGGCGGAGGTGGAGGCGGAGGCGGTCAGGCGGAGACGGAGGCGGGGGGAGAGCCAGAGAGCCCAAGCTCGTTCGGTGGCACACCGCCGGGAGGCCAGGAGGGAGACAAGTCAGCGAGTAGGCCGCCTTGTAACATTACTACTGGGCTGTTGGGCCTTACGGGCCTGTACTTAGACTGCCTTTGTTTCTTCTCATATTGGGCCTTTGATGGGCCTGATTTGGTTCGTCACAAGCTTTGGTCCCCCTGAAGCCTTTCCAAGCCCTGGATCTTATTGCTTTCCTAAAAGCAGAGTTCAATCTCGTTTGGAAAAAGGGGAAAAGAAAAAAAGCCTTTCCAAGCCCCTAGCTGTCCAAGCCCCTGAAGATGATCTCGTGGGCCTTGAAGAAATCCTGCAAGCAGCAGCCGATTTCGCAGTAGATAAGATAATACCTCCATCGAATGAGCACCATCAGAGAGACATCTTGAAGGCCAGTAACAAAATATCAGCAAACTCAATTGGACGGGTAGTAGGGACTAACTTAACCCAACACTAATGTTTCAGTAGACGATTTTTCCAACAACATTGTTAAAAAAAACAGTAGACCGCCATTTGCATCTCCCCCTACAAAGCGAAGGTGCTTCGCGACAGCTCGCAACCGGCCACGTCGCCCCAAAATCAGCCAGCCTATCCACATCGCCAAGATATCCCTCCCGTGGCCACTAGCGAGCCACGCACCCAAAAATCCCCGTCCACAAGTTCCCTTCCACAAATACCTATTTTTTTTTAATCTGGTCCTTTTTTAAAATATTCACGTTTACACCCCGGGGCGACGTAAACCGGAATTTGGACCCTGAGGGTTGGTGCGTGACATGTTGCGCCGAACTAACACGTCTCGCTGCCATTAGTCATGGTGCTGAGGTGATTGCCACAAGACAGTGGGCCTGGTGATGTGTATCTGTGGCAGAACCGTCTAATCTAATGTCTCTCAGGAGTGGTTGTCTTCTATTAGACACTAGGCACTCAAGAGAGGACACCAAATTACGTAGTTCCGTCGGGCACACCCCAAGGGAGAACCCAAAAATTCACATTTTTTACATCAGGATCACAAATGAGAGAATAAAGCTTACATCATTATTAACCATTTCTTACATCACTTTTCATGTAACATCAGAGTATAATGTTTATGGTTTATAATAGCAGAATATGATCATGTTATCAGAGTTATGAACAATTTAAGTTAACAGCGGATATAAACATGTGATCAGAATTACAGCGAAAATAAATATCTATTCATGAAATGAGAAGCATTGATATATAAATTATGACAACATATTATAAAACTTTCAGTTATAAAAATATTTAGTGAGAGTTATAAATAAAGACTATGATCGCAACGTAAAGGAAATCCTCTCTGAGTCCACCAGGAGAAATCCACACACAATGGTCAGTTCAAGCATCCACATGTCACCTGCAACAGGGAAAAATAAACTCTAAATACTCAATTGTACTCAGCAAGACTTACCCGACAGGAGGAAAGAAAAGACTCCAAGGATATGCAAGGCTATCTGGCTTGTGGGTTAATTGTATCTGCAAGAAGCATTACTAAGCGTGTGTCCTCATATTCGATTTTTATTAGCAGCCGCATTAGTTCATTAACTAACCATTCTATGTAAGCACATGTGCTACTTTCAAGTAAGTGGTAAGCAATCAGATTTTCTTTTTCCATCTTTCATCTTTCAGTTCTTACTACGATGCTAAAGTTAAGACAAATTATACCGACACGGCGACGATTCGCGAATCAATGTTCCCAGCTGGGTACCCCGAAACACACGCCCCGCTTGTACCCTAAGCACAAGTAGGACCAACCCACTACCCTCTTGTCACGGGGTCCAGGTCCCCGTCCAAACTGGGACTCCAAGCCCCAGCCCCTGAGTTCCGGACTCAGTGCGGTGCAAGGACCTCCAATACCCAAAAACCACCCTAACAGTCGGTCCGAAAAGAGCCGGAACCCATGACAAGAGAGTAACAAGTCTTCCAAGCGTCCATACCCAAGTATATGCTCGGGATAATAAGTCTGTGACTTGCCTAGCATCCAATACAACGGTCGGTCCTTAACAGACACAGACAGGGAAAAACAGTGTAACCAAGCTATGCCCCGTGGCCGCAGGACACAATCTCTTATACCCACCAATACCCAAACAATATCCCTGCCCGGTCACCATTTTTCTTTCCACCATTTTTATATATTCCAAGTGATAATAATACAGTAATATATTTTCTATCTCTCACGAGTGACAAGCAATCACTCGACTTCTACCGGAGTCCTGTAGCATAGCAATCTACACGATCCTGTTATACTAGTAAGACTCATAGGATAAAGATAGATATATGCAAGTGGATTTCATTCAACTCTTTAAAACTTAATGCACAAATATAATTTAAAGTGCAGAAAAGTAGGGGTTATGCACCGGGGCTTGCCTGGGTAAAATATAATCAAAAGTTAGTATTTGCATCTTCAGATCATCCACCATCATCTGAATAGAAAGCCCATTGCATCATCTACTGGAGAGAACACCATTACACCATCTTCAGATTCCTACTCATACTTCACTTGATCCGTTGATCCATCATCGTACCTATATGATATGCAATGCGATGCAATGCAAAGACGTAATTAATCGACTGCAATCGTGACTCGTAAAAATACAATTTACGCCTCTCAAGTTAACAAGCTAGTTCTAACGACGATCGTACTTAGGCTACATATCCATGTTGTCGAATAAGACGTTATTTCCTAACAATTATTTTAGTTATATAAACCCAAGTTGTTTCTTTATTTCACTCTATCGATTTAATTATTATTCGAAATAGGACATCATTATCTATCTAGCAAACTAATTATTCCGGAGATACAAAAATTACAATGAGCAGCTAATAATATTAGTAATTTACTGTAAAATTTTTAGAGCTAACACTATCACTGATTTATCACGAAAATCCCTACAAGTTCACCATTTTAACAATATTAGGCATATTAAAATAATTAGAGCAACCCTAAAAACATACTGAACCTAGACAAACAAAATATACTATCAGGTAAATCATGATTTTAGAAACTTAACAAACTTGGTTTGGCATTTTTATGATTTTACTACGAATTTTACAAGTTTCAGTCTTTTTAAACAAAACTAGAAAAGAAAAGGGCACTTGGACCGGCGGTGGCTAAGCGGCCCAACAGACCCATCGCGGACACGTGGCCCAGACGCAGAGGAAGAGCGCGTCTTGTGCTGCATGAAGCGGTGACAGTCGGCCCAGCAGCGCCACGGCCTGACAAAGCGTCTGCTGCCCCAGCAAAGAAGCGGACCAAGGCCTGCAAAGACGACTCAAACCCATAGGCGCGCGTGTGGCCCAGGCGACCGGCGGACCAAGTCCAGCGCGAGCAAGCCAGCCCATGGTGGGGAGAGCCCAGCGACGGCGGCACCACTTTGCGAAGACACCCCTGAGTTTTCTCGAAACTAACCCGCATCACATAAGCACTATTCACTTGAGTCACGTATTTTACACCTAGAACCATGTGTTAGCTTCTATTCACCTTTCTCACCTTCTCTTCTTCTATAGACACAGAGCACGGCAGGGGAACACCGGCCGGCAGCGATTCGGCATGGAGGGTGGCACGGCGGTGGTAGAGAACCGGCTGCGGGGCAACGGCGGACCTGGACGCACACGACCAGCAGCTAACGGCAGCGGCGGTGGTGCTGCTGTAGGGCGCAGCGGCTGGCGAGGGCGGGATCCTCAGCACCGGGCGATCAAGGCGCACCCTATATGCGCAACATGGCGAAGGCCCGAGTAGGGGCCGCGGCGGCTCCCAGCGACGCGGTGGCAGGAGGCGTGGGAAGGCAGCGCTACGGAGTTGCAGGTCCAGCGCGGACGAGGGGGGGGTCGACGAGGACGGGTCTGTGGCAAGGCATGGACCGACTCGGCGAGTAGACCTGGAGCAGGGCGCGTCCATGGCAGGTGCTACGGCGCTGGCAGGGCGTGTCGACGGCGGGGGCACTGCGGCTGCTTACTGGCGGTGGGGACGCTGGCGCGTGGGGCATGGAAGGAGCCATGGGGGCGAGGAGAAGCAGCGCTGCGGGACCATGGGGGATTCGTGTGCGCTCGTAAGGAAGGAAGAGGAGGGGCGCCGGTGCTGCACGCGGATGAGAGGAGGCGAGGCGGAGCCACGTGTGGGGAGGCAGCATGGGGAGCTGAGAGCAGGGGAAGCGGCGTGCCGGACCCGACCGGGAAGATGACCAGCCACGGCGGGGTGGAGTCGCACGTGGGCTCGATGAGAGGAAGGAGAGCGGCGGCGAAGAAGAAAGGAGTCTACTGCAGCACAGATGACTCGGTGGTGTTGAAAAGGTGCGCTGCACCACTGCTGGACTGCTTGTAAAGCACATGCTCGTCTCGGCACAGCGGTAGACAACAGCGGCAGACAAGGACAATCAGAGACAGAGGCAAGCAGAGGCATTCAAGGTGCAGCAGAGATGATGCGACGAAGCTGGCAGCGACCATGAGCACGTGGCCCGATTGGCGAACAGAAAAAGACTTGGCGCGATGCATTGAATCGTAGCAGCGGGTTCGAGCGGGGTCGCACCACGTCGGCTGGCGATCAGGACGGCAGTGAGGTGCCTTGTCACCCCAGAAGCCGGGACCGACGGCCACTAAGCGATGACTGCAAAGCAGCACGGATGTATGATGGGGTAGATGGATCAAGAGGCAAGGAATGCGCCATGATCACCAACGGCGACGTCACAGCGGCGACCAGACCCAGGGCGCAGCCCACGTCCCGACGCGACTAGCATGAGATTAGGACGCGGTAGCGGCAGCGGGACAGCCCGCCGAGAAGCGACGTCGGCAACGCGGCCGCAGAGGCAAGACTGGAAACAAGGCCATAGCGCAGCAAGGTAGCGACGAGGCTAGGCGTGCACATAGGCGTCCACGAGTGTGTTGTGTACGTGCGTGGCGTGCATGTATGTTGCCATAATTTTTTTAACATGCCTAAACCGAATTAATTTCAACAACTACACATCTCATACACTAGTCCATACATAATACTAACTCGTAGAAACAAAACATCTAGGAACTAATTAACCCGTTGTTCAATATAATTCGCCAAAATGACACTTTTAAATATGTTTAATTTTAAAATCCGAGAAAATCATTTCGGTAAATCCTCTTAGGTCTAAACTTCGGTGCTAAGCAAGCTCGTAACACCAGAGGTGTTACAGTATCCTACGTGGTAGATAGCTCGACGTCACAGATCTCGGCGCCGAGCTTTGCGCTGCAGACCATGGCACCGACCATGGATTCAAAAAGCTACTCCCATCTTTCCCTACCCGAACATTCTTCCATTTCTCGCTCCTCCCTCTCGGTTTGTCCCTCTCCCCATCCCGCCCAACCTCTGCAATCGACATATTAGACCTTTGGAAACTTTGATTTGATCCATAGATTTTCATGAGCAAGGTGTTGATGGTCACTAACACCTAGTTAGACCATCAACATTGCACCCAAAAGCAAGGTAAATCATCATCACATGTGCTAAAATTACTTTATATTTTACTTAGCTCCACTTGTACTTTGAAATATATTTGAATGCAGAAAAATTTCACAAAAATACACAAAATATGTGCATATAAGGCAAGTGGATGTGGCAGGCCACCTTGGGCCCACATGGTAGGGTCGCTTTAACGCCATGTGGTGTCGTCGGACGCCCCATGTGACCTGCCATGTCATTGATCCACGTGATGGGTGGTGTAGCACCCCCAGGAGGCCTCCCACGCCGTTGGTTTGAGTCGGTTTGATCCAAAGGTTGAGGATGAGCTTCCTTGGATCTCAGGGCCCACCGTCATCCACTTGGAGTTCCAAACCGACCTACAAACCGCCTTCTGATCAAAGTAACCGACCTACCTTCCATGCAACCGCCATTGGGAGCCAATCAAGAACGTAGGATCAAGAGCCAATCAAAATAAGGTACAATATTTTTTCAAGCATCAAATTATTTTTTATACATATTTTTAAATATGAAACTATTATTTTTTATTATATTTTTGGAAATTATTTTATAAAAAATATAAAAAATAATAATTTCATGCTTGAAAAAACTATTGTACCTTATTTTAGCAAATTATTGATAGTAGGTAGCCTAAAAGAGTATGACTCTACTATAGGCTGTTTTAGTGTTGCATTTGGCGACAGGGGTAAAAGAGTCATTTCATATTGCTTTTAACACCGTTACCTTGTCGAACTAACGGAAGGGCCAACAACCAAAACGAAATTCGTTTTAGAATCAAATAAGCTAGTTCAATCGAAAAAGGGCTAAGAAACTGAGCATAATTTTTTTAGGGCCAAGAACAAATTTTCTCATCATTTTGGGCGGAGGGAGTAAAACGTAAGCGGCTTACTCTTTCCCCATCCACCGGGCGCCGACATCCGCACCACATCCCATCCTCGCCATGCCGTCGATGGCGTCCGTGATCCTCCGGGCGGCTGCTCGCGCCGCCAGCTCAGCTGAGTGGGCCGCATCTCGCTGTGCGGCGGCGGCGGCGGCCTCAGATCCGCTAATGTGCGCTTCCTCCGTTGCTGCAGCGGCGACCGCCCGGAACCCCGCGTCATCTGGTAGCGTTCATCCCCCCATCGCCGCACGGCACCCTCGGAGCAGGCTCTCTCACGGCAGTGGATCCACCATCGCCCCATTACCACCACGCTTCGTCAAGCCAGGTATATATACAGCTGATCTGAATCTGATCCGCACACAACACTTATGTCTGTATGTAGATTGGGCGATATTTGAGGCAGATGACAAGGACCTCGAGTCAGATCAGATGAAGCCCTATGGGCCCTGTACGAGCGCTGGTGCAAGCTTTTTAACCAGGAGCGTGACCGCGACGAGATGGCTCGCCGGTTCACCTCCTTCAAGGAGACTGTGCTGTGTGTGGGGGAAAACAAGAAATCTGATCTGCCTTACAGACTTGGGATTAACCAGTTTGCCGATGGGAAGCTAGCTGAACTCTACGGCAAAACTACCATACACCATATTAAGAGAATTCCTTATTCCGCTTCACCGATTTATGGGAGAGAGCACCAGATTTCTTGTTCAAGGAGGACCCTAAGGGGCCGGGCCGGGCGGCCCGCGCAACTGAAGCATCGAATCCATGTGCATGGATGAACCACCATGATCGTTCTCAGGATCTACAAGACCCATGAATTCGAACCTGTATTATTAAGTTATGATTATATTATTATATATATGTGTGACGTCTAGTTATTGTACGCCTATGCACGATTCGGGACCAAAGGCATGCACATGTCTTCTCTACTGAGCTGCATGTATAGTCGTGTGCATGCATGTTTGTTCGTACCAAGTTGTGTTTGTTGGTAATATTCGACTTTTAGACCTTCACCGAGGAGGCCATGCATGACATGTTCGTACCAAGTTGGAGAGTTCGAAAGGCCTCACAATCCAAATCATCTAAAGTCCACGTAACCAGAGTACTTCTAGCAGACTAGCACATAGCCAAAGTTCATCTACGTAGTAGATGCGAATAGTGCTACTTGCCAACATCATAATCATGAGACGGTTTCCATAATTTTTGTTGTTTGCGGTTATTATTGACAATCGACAGATAGACAGATATCATATAGCGCAAGTGACAGCAGGCATCAATAAGAAAAGAAAAAAACACGCCAAATCTGTGGATCACAATGGCTAGAGCCTCACATTTTCTGACCAGCAACCGTTCCAAGGAAGCCGGCCGGCAACCAAAGAAAAAAGAGAACTTGTGGTAAAGCATCATGATAACATGGATCTGATTCATACTAGCACCGCTTGTTCCTAAGATGCCGTAACAATGCTGTGATGTGGAACTCTGATGCGCTGCCATGTCAAGCCAAAGAAAGAAAAGCGAGCAAAGAACATATGTACAGATCCAAGACTGAACGCAAGTCAGGAACAAAACATACTTTATTTCAAGTTGACTGACCAAAACCTTTTTTTTGGGGAGTAAAGATCAGCAGGTCCTGGAATGCATCACTGGATGGAGCAAACACATGTCTCTTTGGCTCGCACATATGTACCCAGATTGCAAAACAATTACAAAACTGAATTACCCAGATTGCACCCACATATGTACATTGCTGACAGATATAATTTCTGCAGTTCATTGACACATTTGTAGCAAAAGCCGGAGATTATCTGTTCTTCAGGTTGAAACCACAAAAAGATACATGACAAATTAGATGTGCGGTAGAAACATATGTACAACACAAACTTATACTTCCCACCATTTTCGTTTACTTGTCACCAACCTTTACTGTATCAGATTTGACCGGCCGTTTTTTCCTTCTGAAAATTCTTAGATACTTCAAAGTATATAACATTAATCAAGTATGTAAAATGAAGAATCATATATGTGAAAACTTGATGTATCTAAAAATCTTTTGCAAAAAAAAACACATGGTCAAAATTGCTACAGTAAAGTTCGGTGACAAGTAAATGAAAACGGAGGGAAGTACAAAGATCTGCCTGCTCCAAGGAGACATCTGGGACTTGGCATGCTGTGCCAGCCAGAAGGGCTGGCGAATCCATTAGCTTCAGAGAGTCCATTTGCATGACATTGATTTTGCTACCCATATCCTTGATCAAATGGAGCTTTCCAAGAAATCCAACAAGCAAGTAAGGACTGTCTGATTCGTCAAAGGTCCCAACACGTGCCTGGCTTACAGCAACCTTCCAAGTATCCTCTTGAGCATCGTACATCTTTATCTTAGAACTGTTAGAAGAAGTTGCTGGCTCCAAGGCATACAGATTGCCATCTATAACAGTGCTCAATTTCGTTCCAACCTGCCTTGCAGGCCAACCTTCACCCATGCTCGTAGGCATTTGTTCCCATGAATTTGTCTCCGGATCAAAGATCTCTCCACTAACATCAACAGCGAAGGGCCAGGAATAAAAGCTCTGAGAAACATATAGCTTCCCTCTGTATGAGGTCACTCCGGTAGCAATAGGCTTCAGTAGATCAGCTAAGGCCGTCGGCAGAGCTTGCGATTTGGAGAATAACATATCTGGCACCAAACCCCAGTTGCAGGGTCAAACACTTCAGCGGATTTTAGCGGAGCCAACCCATTCTTGTCTTGGATGATACCACCAACAACATACAGCTTGTTGTTCAACAGGCTAGTCTTGCAAAAGGCACGCCCTGTGCTCATCGGGCTCACCTCCTGCCATGAATTGACAGATGGATCATACCTCCACACGCATTTCATCGTGGAAGCTCTAGAGAACCCACCCAAAACATAGAGGCAGCCATCAGCAGCGCCGACGGCACAGCCACAGAATGGTATACTGCCTAACAATTCCCTCTGACCAAGCCAGCCTCTGATAACGTCAAAGATACTTATGCCAGCGCTCACCAGATCCCCCAAGCCCAACCCATAGACGCGGCCACTCCTGCACTCTCCTCTGCTATGACTGATCCCAGGCATGAGTGGCAGCCTCTGCCATTGGTTGCTAACCGGATCAAAAGCATGCCAAACCAGCTTCTGATCATCTGCCGTCTTCATCGGTATGTACAGCCACTCTTCGGCCACGCCGAGCTCCTTCCTCAGCCGGTACAGCTCTGCGCCAGTTATCGCCACCTTCCAGCTCCGGGAGACCATCTTGGCCTTGAGGTACCCCATCCGCGGCATCCTCGCGAGGATTTGCAGAGAGATCTCATCCGGGAGCCCCGGGATCAGCCTCGGGTGGCCGTGGCTGCAGAGAGAGGTCGAGAGCCGCATCTTCTTGGAGGAATCTGGTCGCGGAGCTTCGTCGTGCTCCCACTGCTGGTGCTGTTCCTTGCTTGCGGCGGAGCTCAAGAACGCCCCCATTTGATGTCTTCTTGGCTACCTGTATCTAGAGAAATTTAACAAATAGAGTAAATAACCAGCAAACCAGTGGGCAAAGGCATAATTTAGGCAGTAAAAATGGAAGAAAAGATAGGAAAACCTACATATATAACAATTAAAAGAACCAAACATCATGACAAGAACAATATAATTCTTTGGTTCCAAATCTCAAAATACAAAGGACAGTTCACCGTAACTCGAAAGCATCGCCAAATACCCCAGGAAATAGCCAAATAAAAACAGCGGCCATGCTTGGATCGGTGGCTTTTCAAAGGAATCGGGATCCAAGCCCTATGATTGCTGGCTGGCACCACATGGTGTTTGAAACGGAGGAAATAGAATCTGCCTTAAGGTTCGGCTTCCTTATCCAAAAATCGAAATGGAGCCAAAATATCCACTACGAGCTGTTGGGAAAAAATAAAAATATACGTGAAAGAAGAGCTAACCAATTTAGCAATCCCATTGTGGCGCTAAAGTACAGCTCCGCCGTCGCCGGCGAGCCGCCCAGGTGCAGCCGCTGCAGCAGCCGCCGCCGGAAGCCCCGGGGCCGTCGCCTGCCAAAGAGCTCCGGCCGCCCCGTGCCGGCACACCCCCCCGCTCTCGCCCAGTCGCCCTGCCGCCCAGGAAGCCAGGAGCTCGCCACCGGGAGTGGGGAACAAATTGGAGTCGGGAATTTGCCGAACTGGAAAGATTCTTTATAAGCGCTTCGTTAGTTTGAACCCCAACAATCTATTTTGGCGCTCATCTGCCCCAACGCGGAACACATGGATAGAGTAGTAATCCTTGAGCTCTTTTTGAGGCAAACCATCGACGCTTGTGGCCGGGTGCAAGCGTCCCACGAGCGTGGCTACCTAGTCAAGCGTCGATGCGTTCGCGAGCGCTCGAGCCAAGTTCCAGCCAGACAGGAAAACGAACTTAACTTCCTTTTAAGCGGCTGCAAGCTTAAATTATTCACTGATCACTTGAGTGAGTGGATAAAGAATGATGCGGCTGCAAACTTTCTCTTAAGGTTTTTAATCAGTGGGCCCACTTTATCTGAACAAGAAATTTAACCTGTTCACTGGTTGGTTTCTGGACTGATAAGTCCGGCTGGTGCTGGTTTGTTACGAGAGAAAAATAATGCATCATGGCTGATAAGCTGAAACCAATAAATGAATATGTTGATTATTTGCGGCTCTTTTCCGATTCCTTATACACTAAGTTAAACTTGTGCTTTACGATGAAGCTGATAGTTTTTTTTTTTTAAGAATGGAGATACACAAGAGACCGCCACTTACAATGGTGTTGTTCGGCTGAAGATTTCTACGGCTGATAAACCGGCTAATGCTGTTTTGTTGTGAGAGAAAAACATCGTACCATAGCTGATGAGTTCAAGCGAACATGGCTATGTTTAGCGATAAAAAGAGATCGGAATAACTTATGTTCGGTTCTGTTCTATTTTCTATATTTATTCTGACTGGTTTCATATTTGTGGAAAGAAAACGAAAACCAACAAAAAGTCGGATATTCTGTTTTTTTTCCATTACCGGCTATGGGTCCTGTTCCTATCTGCGATGATTCAAATACGAAACAAAAACGGTTCGTATAGTATTTTGTTGTTTGTTTCTCTTTGTTCTCATCCCAAATTATGGCACGTGTTCTAATCAAACGTAACAAAAATTAAAAAAAGCTACTCTCTCTGCTCCATGGCGGTTCACTTTAATGAATCGCATGTTGTGGGATAAGCATTTTTGCAGACGGTTGGGTAAATAAATGTGGAAATGTGTTACCATCTACCTATAAAAAAAAGGTAAATTTTGCTCAAGGATACCACTCAAACATGAAATTTGCCGTTGAACACCGTTAACTTGGTAATTGGCCTAGTATTATTATAAAAAACAAGTTATTTGCCACAGAACACGACAACCATTAAAATATCCATTTCAGTGGTTTGAGAGACAAAGAAAGGAGCGTATGTTTTATTGGCTGGGGTGTCCAGTGGCAAATAACCTGATTTTTATAATAGTACTGGGCCAATTACCGAATTGGCGACAAATTTTACGTTTGAGCGATGTCCTTGAGCAAAATTTGCCTATAAAAATAATTTCCATAGCAATAGCTCTTGTGCTAGCTAAAGCCTAAGCCCTCGTTTAGTTCGCGAAAAGTTGGAAATTTAGCTACTGTAGCACTTTCGTTTTTATTTGGCAATTAATGTTCAATCATGGACTAATTATGATCAAAACGTTCGTCTCGCAATTTCCAACCAAACTGTGCAATTAGTTTTTTTCGTCTACATTTAATGCTCCATGCACGTATCGCAAGATTCGATGTGATGGGTACTATAACACTTTTTGGAAAAACTTTTCGCGAACTAAACAAGCGCTAAAGATGGGTTTAAAAAGGGCAAGCATGCTCCCAACCCAACGTTCGTTACTTAGAAAAGTAAGGACAAGACGAGCTGGAAGGAAATCAAGGACGTCAACCGCAAAACTTTGGGACTAAGTGTCGGAGACCTAATATCGGGGTACCCAATGAGGTGAAATTAATAACCATCGAACGTTGACGCTTCCGATAAGACAAGAACGCTACTACACTTCTTGTCCGAACGACGGAAGATTGATTCCGCCTCGTCCGACCCCAAGGGCTAAGACTCCGCCTTGCCCGACGGCTAAGGGCTAGCTCCGCCTCGCCCGACGTCCGAGGGCAGGCTCCGCCTCGCCCGACGGCTAAGGGGTGTCTCCGCCTCGCTCGTCGTCCGAGGACAGGCTCGCCTCACCCGATGGCTGAGGGTTGTCTCCGCCTCGCCCGACGACGGCACCCTGCTCCTTTATAAAGACGAGCACAGGGTACGACAGGACATTCGAGTCAACCGCAGTACCAAGGGCCATGCCCTGCATGCCTACAGGAAGGTACCATCAGGATACGACAGGACAGGCGCTTTAAGTCGGCGCCGACTTTTGTCCTACAGTGTTGTAGGCGAGCCATCAGCCCTCGGACGCGGATACTAACACAGGCATATGACAACCACTATAATTCAAGGAAGAACTCACATCATCTACAGTAACAGGCGTGTAGTCATTTCCCCGTCTACTCCCCGCAGAGTCATGGCTCGGCACCCTGACACACCGTACCGTCCGCCACAGGAGGATGGGACATGAACACTCGCTGAAACGAAGCCAGAGCCCCGCCCTATTAGGACCAGCGAAACATGCTATCCCTGGCGTGGTCTGCCATGTCAGCAAGGCAGGCTCAGGGGAAAAGGAAGACCCGGCACCCTCGAAGGACCTTCTCTACCTTTGGTTTTTTTTCGCTTTCTCTCATCTGTAACCCCTGCTCCCCCCTTGGTCTATAAAAGGGAGGGCAGGGCACCCCACAAGAAAAAAATCGATTCCACACACAGCATATAGCCAAGCAGCAACCAAGCTCTTGGCACCTTTTCGACCTTTCCATCAGAGACTTGGGACCTGTCCCTCTCTCGACCGTTTGTACCCCCTAATACGAAACCAGTATAAACCTTGTGTCCTTTAGTACACCATCCGGGCCTAACGCGCAACAAATATAAATTTACTAGTTGGTGTTTGTTCGAAACACCGACAGTTGGTGCGCCAGGTAGGGGCCTTTGCGCGTTCCAAATCAGGCCTCGGATGGCTAGCCACGCAATCAGCTAGGTCCCAGGCGCACACGTGCGTTTCGGTGACCTGGACTTCATCATCACGATGGGAGGAGAGTTGGCATTGGCCCACGTCGCCATCCAATCTTTCTCCTCCATTGGCTTCAACTACGAGAGGCTTGAGCGCCAGCCTGGCGTCTCCCTTGGACCCCAGCCATCCAGGGAGGACCTGCGCCACCTCACCCTCTCTCTAGAACATTCTGCACGGAAACGCCCGATGGTGCTTCCGTTCGGTCTCCGCAACGCTGCGGCCACCGTTAGCCGCCTCGTGGCACAGCGCACGATCCCGTCCCCCACGAACAACGAGTTCGTGGGGATGATCGAAAGCATCACGAAATCTCTCCACGGCCTCATCACGGAGGGGCTGGGGTCAGACTCTGGCTCTGACTCTAGCAGGGGGAGCCATCACCCCTCCCGGGAATGTTTCATGGTGGGTACCTCCGAGGGACACGTCGAAAGCGTCTCTGCGGAAGAGGCTACCCTGGCAGGCAACCTCGGTGGCGAAACCGAAGGGGATACAGCGGCCCCACCTCACATAGGGGTGGAGCAGCTAAGAGCCCAAAAGCGGGAGATCAACGAAGCCGGACAACAGCTTATTCGGGAATACGCGGAGGTTGATCGGGAGATCGAACGCCGCGGAGACGGTGGGCACGCATGCGCGTGGGCCCATGACGTAAGCCAAAGGATCATCGCCGATGATGAAACCCTTCCTCACTTCGCTCGAGCAAGCCAGAACATTGCTGCCGCAACGGCCTTGCTCCATGGCCTTCCATAGGCCGCAATGCCCGAGGATCGTCGGGCCCACAGCGAGATTTGCACGTTGCTTGAGCGTGTGGCGGCACAGCAGGCGGAGAGCTCGTTGTCTCGGCGACGTGAGCTCGATACCAGCTAGTGAACGCCCTCGGTGCACCCCGTCAGGGACGCATCAGTCCACCGGGCACCACAAGGCGGCAGGCAGTGCGCTGCGACCCTAAGACATCAATGTCTCGGCCGTAACCGCGACGCACGTAGCACCCTCGATGCCCGCAGATGCACCTACAGTGACCCAAGAGAAGGAGCTCGCCATGGCTATCATCCTCATCGCAATGGATGCTACGACAGCGGCGAGGATCGGAGCCCAAGCCCCAGCCGGCTAGGCCCTCAGGCCTTCGGCTGACACATCCTCAACGCTGCATTCCCGTCAAGGTACCGACCACCTACCAATATCCCTAAGTACTCTGGGGAGACAAACCCCAGACTTTGGCTTAAAGACTATCGGCTTGCCTGTCAAGCCGGTGGTGCGGATAATGACGACTTCATTATTTGGAACCTTCCACTGTTCTTGGCCAATTCG